GAAGACATTTTTTCAATTGGAAAAAAAATAAAATACAGCAGAAACATTCCAATAATGCATGAGTAAGTGTCCCTCTTTTCCATCTCCCAGTACCCCTTTCCTGAAGTGACCTTCCAGAAATTTTCTGTGCATATACAGGCACACCTCTATCCTTTCTCTCCCTCCCTTTCTTCCTCCTCCTAAAAAGCAAATGAGAGCACACTATACATCCTTCTGTACCTTGTTTCTTTCACACAGTACATCCTTCAGCACATAAAGTACTACTTCAGTCTCGTACTCTGCAGCACGCTATTCCATCCTATGGTGCACTGTAACTTTATTAACCAGCTACGATGGACATTTCAGTTGTGTCCAGTCTTTTGCTTCTTATAAACAATGCTGCAGTGAACATCCTCAGACATCCTTCTATGCACTCTCGCAGTAATATCTACAGAATCTATAGGACAGTTCCTAGAAGTGGAGTTCCTGGGTTAAAAAGTCTGTGCATTTTAGATTTTGATAGACATTGCAACCTCATTTATTCCACTGAGGTTGTACCAAAATATTAATGGCATTTTGCTGCCTGGACACTGGAGCCAGGACCGTCACCACTTACAGTGTCCCATTGCACCTTCCATCATCAAACAGCCCCTCAGGCCACGTCTTGCCATGGTACTTCCGCCCTCCTGCTTCCTCCACCCCACCCTTTATTTCAAGAAATAAACACCATTCAAAAGACTTATTCTTCTTGGATAGTTTAACTTTGCTTGGGTGTAACCATTGTCAAAAAGGCTTGGTTCAATGAATGTCTTATGAAAAATGTAATGGTGCTGTAATTTGGATTAGATTAGGAAAACGCACGTTTTAGTTTCCCAAGCAGACTCATAAATATTACTTCCAGATACAGTCAGAGCTATGGGATGGTTATACAGCTCATATGTTTGAGTCACCTGGATCCCTTCCATGGCCAAATTTTTATAGTAAGATCTGCATTACAACTCAGGCGGTAATCAGATCAAGTTCAATGCTCTGTTTCTGCAAATGCCTACAGAACACCTGGTGGTCTCCTTGCAGCTCCTGGGTGGAGATTAAATTCCTATTTAATGACAGAAGGTAAAATCTTTTAGTTTTTTGAGTTGTACTTAGTGGATGTTTGATTTATCAAAAAATGATCTATTACAATGCTAACGCTTACAATTTTGCTTTTGGAACATACTAAAAGAGACAATATTGCCCTCTTATTAGAGGTGAATTCTTTACTGCTAAGCTAATCAAGGGGTGGGGGCAATTTTGAAGATGGGAGCAAGTTTCATTAAAAAAAGAAAAAACTGTTTAGCTTCACATCAAAATTAGAGCAAGTAACTTTTACTTCTCCTTTAGTTGTCACGTTTGGTTTCCTTCAAAAGATCGCAATTTGTCCAAGGGTTAGGCAACATACCAAAATATTTTCACACTTGGGAGTATGGGAAATGTAATGTTCTACTAATGTCTAAAATATGCTTGCAAAACTGTGCTTATAGTTTTATTATGGGGATAACCATGACCAAATATGAGATACGATAAACATTTCACCTCCAAGAGGAACAATCCTGAAGAGGTGGATATAGCTAAAATATATATTGGATTGCACCACAAGCCTAGATAAGCTGCTGACTGTCCAATGTCAGAGAAGTCAGTATAAAGTTGAAGCTAAAAACCTGTTCTGCTAAATCCCAGTTCATCCTTACCAGGGCACTTTTTCTCAGCTCAGTGAAAAAGGGAGACTCTATAAAATACATACCTAACAAAGCATGTCAGCAGCTTGAATGGAGCACACCAGTCCAGATCTGAGAATTCTAATAAATAAAAGCAGTTGAGCATTTATTGCCAACAGTCATGTCACCGGAGCCACAGAACACTGGAGCCGTGCAGCTGGGAGGCGGGAGCGTGGAGCCAGAGAAGGCAATGGAACGCACCCAGGTCTGATTATTTACAGCCTGCTGATGAAGAGACAACTTTCCATATGAGGAACAGCTTAACAGAGGAACAGTCAAGCTAAATCAGGAAGAGGTCCAGAGAAAGAGAGCAACAAAAGGGGCCATGAATAAAAATGACAGCTAATAAAACAATACAAATCTAAAATGCTGTAACTTTCAGAAATAATTTAGGGCCAAGAGAAAAGAAAAAAATCTTGTTTTGCTGGCTTTGAGACGATTTTTCAAGCAAAAGACATTAAGCAAAATGAATGTGCTGAATTGAAGACCAAATTTGCCTTGATACCTTCCTAGCTGTAAGTTTGGTTGCTCCTCAAGCTGGATTTATTTATAAAACGGGAAGTGGCAATTTCGTTCATATTTAGCTAATGTATACATTTTTTCAACAAATATTTATTGTGCACTATTCCACGTCAGGTGCTGGGCCCTCTGGGGCTGCGTGCTGAACAAATATACAGTCCTTGCCCTCAAGAGGCCTGTAGTCTAGTGCCCGGAAGCAGACAAGTCCATTGTGAAGGTCAGGACACGGGGGTGGGCGCTGTGGTAACAGCTACGTCAGGGTCGGGGGGCAAAGGAGGGACCACTGCAGGGAGGAATATGAGGCCCAACGTGGAGCCTGGGACGGAAATAATTTAGTGCATTTTGCTTTCTCCGTTAATTAAATAGACACCAAACCTCCATGCAATCCAAATCCCACTTTATTTAAAAATTAAAATACCCTTTTTATGCAAAGATGCAAATTTCTATGGTTCTCAGTAGAGTTTTCATCCTTGGATTCTGGATTTGAGGCTACCTCAGCTGTTTTAAATTATCTTTCTATAATATAACATATCTCTTCTTCCGAGTCTGGCGAAAAGCATAATAAATATCAGCCACCAGTTACTACGTGGCCCAAGTGTGCCAGACATTTTATTTGTGTCTCGTCCACTCTTACAATGCCTTGAGGTAGGATCATCATGCTTATTTCACAGATGAGGGAACAGAGCCTTTGAAAGGTCGCTCTGTCAAGATCACATGGAGTAAGCATCACACCACTTCTACACCTGCCTTTGGGTTAAGTATGTAGGTTGGGACTGTTCCAACAACATGTCTACACCCAAAGGAGGCTTATCAACTAAGACCCACTGGCTTATCAATTTGAGCTGTTTTCAAGGTTACTCGAGCCTTATACTCCCTCTTTTCTTCCTCCCTCCCCAATTAGAGTCCCTCTTCTGACCATTCTCACTGAAGAAGTGCTACTATTAAGAGCCAGGAACTCCTTATCTTAGGTGACATTGGGGCTGTTCGGTTGCGAGGCATGGGAGTGTTTCTAGAAGCTGAGAACTGTAACAAATATTTGATTCCCAACAACACATACACACAGGCATCCCGTGAGGTCTCTCTGCACTGCAAGTTTCCTTCTCTCTTAAAAAGTTTTCTTAAAGATGAGTGCCCATCCCCCGCCCCCATAGATCAGTGCCCTGATGAGCCTGATGAGAAGGAGATCCAGCCAGGGCACTTAGTCATGAGCCAATCACATCTTCTCCCTACCTTTGCTCTCTGTCCCATTCCTCATGCTCTACTTTCCAGAGACTATGTCCTCACTGCAAGATGTGGTTAAACACTGGCCTCAGGCAGGTGTCTCCACGGCCTTGGGGACTTCACATTTTCCTTTATGTGCTGAGTGGAAGCATTCTATCTCAACGCCGTTGTTTCCATACATTCCCCAGACCCACTCCTCTCCCCTTTCCCACCTGGCCACTATTTCAGAAATACTGCTTAGCATCTGAGGACTGAATGGTCTATGAATTATTTTACAGTTTGAATTAAAGTAGTATTCTTGGTGTCATTTTTTAATGTCCTCAAGACCAATCTTCCCCAAACAAACTGGGTACTGCACTGAATGGTAAAGCTGTTTTATTACTAACCCAATTCTAAAAATACCAAACAGTGGAGGTCTGATGTTGTCTCTTTGAAACAGGATAAAATGTGATCAGTTGATAAACCACGGCAAAGTCTTTCAGAAATTTCTATCCTTGCCCTCTTATTCTCAAATTTATAAAACAATTTGTAAAAAGCCAAGGATTCAGTCTTCCCTTTTTGTACTATTTGAGCCAGATCGTGCCTATGAACACTTGCTTCTAAAACTAGACACTAAAAAAGATGACTTAAGACCCACTAGCTTATCAATTACAATTTAGTTCTTCCTCTGTTTAGGTTAACTTCGTTTAGCACAGTAAAATGTTATGATGAGACCTGGTCCTAGCTTCAGGCAAACAGAGCTGGCCACATACACAGTGCTTTCATCCAAAGGCTGAAACTTTAGTAGGATGACTGTGTAACTCCCCTGTTCTAAGAAAACGATTTTGCAGCCAGGATGGCCAGAAACGTCAAATGGCAACTTTTCTGCTTCGAGGTAATTTCCCAGGAATTTGAGAGGCAATCTTTTACTTTTGACTTTCAAAGAGAACCTGGGCTTGAAAGGCACAGTTGCATCTAAAATTGATCAGCTATCAACAACCCACTGAAGTTCCTTGGGAGGGAGGGAAAGTAGTTGAGACACCTAGACATCTGGACTGAACTATCTAGTGCACTTTCCAGGTTGTAAATTTTCTGGCCCAAAAGACTATTTGAAAATAACTTTTTACCAAAGAAGTAGATATTTTTATTAGCTGAAGTACTAAAGAATTTTTGATTACTGTGATATGAAACACTACAGCTATAAGACTTACTAACATCTAGTCTTCAAGGCAATGTGCATTTATGAAAATAAAATTTAAAAAAACGTAAGTCCTGAAAACATAGATTTTAAATTATGGTGGAAGAGAACCTTATTACATATACTGCTCTAAAACATATTCAAATAAAGCAGAGAATTTGATAAATATCAATATACTATGGTTGAGACTGAAATGGTTTTGTCACCTGGAAATTTATCACATTTGTCGATCTACTTAAACAGAAAACATTTGAACAAAAAGGACACACACACACTCAAACACACGTTTTTACTGAAAACTATTTGAGGAACAGCCTAGAATCCTTTATATTTCAATCTCTAAATTTTGATCTTTTTACATATTTATTCTGAAATAAAGTCTAAGACATTAACAGTACACAGAATTTTAAAATAAACTGCATATGGTTAGAAAAATATGCATCAAGAGCATAGATATATTTCATAAGAAAATAAAACTATGTACAAACATCACTTCTGCTCATTAGTGCTGATCTTGACTTGTTTGATTTTTATAATTAAGCACCACCATAAATCACAAAGCTTCGAGAGAAAGGTGATCGCAAAACTCTTTAACCTCCCTCTTGCCCCAATGTTTCATTTTCCAGTTTCAGTGGAAAGTTCCCTCACTCCCTGGTTAGAAAGTGCATTTAAAATTGTCCAGAGTTTGGGAGGGTCCTCACAATTGTGCTGTTGTTCCCAGTGCAGGAGGAGTTCCTCTTTCCTTCCCAGAGTCTGTGCACAAAGGATGCAGTGAAGGCCCGACTGGGACCGAAGGAGAACGGGGTGGGGGCCGGGACACTCAGGGCCCTGGGGCTCTTCCCCTGGCTCCCTTGGTCCCGGCTGGCCGCCTTCATTTTTCCTGAGTATTTCCACGCCACTCTGGTGATGAAGGTCGAGCTGCTTTTTCAGTTTAGGCAGTGCCTGTAAGTGCTCGTCAGAGGGACAGTGCGCGGCCAGTTCTCTTCTGGCAGGAAGCTGTCTCCAGTGAGGGTCAGCATGCTTAACCAGTTCTTCCTGGGCTCCTTTACTTCCTGGTGAGACCTCCTCTTGTAGTCTGCCCTGAATTTCCTCTCCGTGAACATAAAGCAAATGAAACTTGATTTCAGCGAAAGACTGAGCAGTGATCTGACAGCGGCCACATTTGATTTGTAACTTGACTTCGTCTGCCTGGTTTAGAAGGAGGTCTTCTTCCAGGTTTGACTTGTTTTCCCTGAAAAAGGGGAAAAGAGCCTACATAAGATATCGTGGAAAACACAATTGGAACTTTTCCTTTCAGCTCTTAGGCTTCAGGGATCTAAAACACACCCAGTGATGGGAAGTTCAGAGGATGGGGTCAACAGAGAGGGCATGGGACGCAAAGGCCACGGGGAACACCAACTTGCACTCCTGCTTAGGGCCACACATTTCTCAAGCTAGCATGGTCCATTTAGTAAAAGAGTGTTTCCCTTTATGCATCTCCCCAGAGAAGCTAACTATTCTTTGGTTGCCACAGGAACAGGTGTAATCACCATGCGAGTCTGGGTGCGAGTAAAGCACTGCAGGAACACACTGGGTTGGGTTGAAGGTAACTGCCCCACACCATCCACTGCTGCCCTCCCTAACCTTGAGCACCGGACGCAGTCTAGACATTTTACCTAAAAATCAAAATGCGCTACAGGAAAACAATTAGGAAGTGACATTTCTTTAGAAAAACAGAGAAACTCCAGAAAAGCCAGGAAGAAATAGGACAGGCACCCCTTATTTATAATGAACATGACAGAGTAAGCCAAAATTGAATAGAAAGTATTTAGAACAATTAGGACAATTAAGAACGACAAGGGACAGAGAATCTAAAGTGTTGGAAAATGTTTAATTTTCATGATGCTGATGAGAATCCATTTCAGTGAAACTCCCTCTGTCATCTGGTGGAAAGGACAGAGTGAGGGCATTTCCCTGGTTTACTTATTGCTCTAGGACCTGCCTGCCAGGCTTTGCGAGTACTTCGCTTGTTTATTTATATGCTAGGTAGCAGTGCCTGCATAAGGGAATGACACAGGAAAAAGTGAATCTGGCCTTATGGGAAAAAGAAGGCAAATGCAGAGGGTCAGGTCTGGGCACCTTAGGGCATGGTCAACGCAGCAGACCCACGCTGAGTCCCCACCATGGGTCACACCATGTTCTGGGGCAAATGATGCTGATTAGACAAAAATTCTGTGGACATGATTTTGGGGAAAATTACTTGTAAAGAGTACTGGAAACTATATACAATATTTACAATTTCATATTTCAGACGCAAAAATAATCTGTCACCCAATTGTCCCCAGCATACCTCACACTGGCATTTGTGCCCTGGCTTGCAGGGGTTAGAGTAATTAAAAATTATGACTGATCAGAAACCAGAGAAATGAGATCATTCTTCACAGAACTAGTGGGAAGAGGGAGCTAGCTTATGAAATCTTAATCTGAGGGATGTTTTTACAAACTCATCTTTTTGAATATGAAATCTTACTCTTTTCCCCAAATCTAAACAGACTTCTTTGCCAGGCTGACATTCCATTAGCACTCACCTCTCCACTGAGCCCTCCAGCCCTCGCACATTCACATCTCTGTTCTTTGGCACGTCCCCTGGCTGCGGTTCACTGGGGGAGGGCTCGGTGCTGATGACAACTCTATGCACTTCTTTTAGATGGCCAAAATAGACTCTGACGTGACCAAACACTTTTGCACAAAATTCACAGCACACGAGTTTCTTCAGCCGGTTCTCACTGTGATGGAGTTTCATGTGTGTGCTCAGGCTGCCAGAACGTACGTACGCCTTGCGACAAATCCGACAACTGTAAGGGCGTCTGTTGGTGTGTGTATTCATGTGGTCTCGAAGGTGCTGTTTGAACTGGAAGTGGTGGTTACAGACGTGGCACCTGTGCCAAGGCTTCTTAATGCCAGAGAATCCACTGCGGAACACAGAGCCGGCCTTAGGGGAAGGGCTGTCATCCTGCTTACAGCCGAGATATTTAGGAGTGAGTGAATTATTTAACAAAACGTCCAGTCCTGTTCTGCTGAGCGTTTGGGATTCCAACGTAGCTGCAGGAGAAGCCAGGGGAGCCAGAGCAGGCATGACAATGACAGGTTTAGGCATAATGCTACGGTATTTTTTCATAGTCCCAGGTTTTTGATCTCTGGATTCTTGGGGATCGTTTTTTACTCTTTCTTTACCATCTTTACACTTATTAATGATACCCTTCCTCCTTTTTCCCTGAAGTGCCAAAATTTCATCTGGTACCTTTCGTTTTCTTCCTCTTCTCTTTGCTGCCCCACTGCTGAGTTTTGTTCTGTGGTTGAGATCGAGTTTGGTGGCCAGAAAAAAGGCACTTTCACAAGGACTCTGCTTCAACTCTGCCTGTGGAACAACTATCTTGTTGGCCATTTTGGGGGCTGCATTCAAGCCTTCTGCAATGGAAGCTGTCTTATCACAGTCTGCCCTGAGCCCAGGGAAAGAAAAATCTGCGGTGCTCACATCTGATTCACTTTTGTAAACCTCCGTTGTCTTCATTCTTGAGTAGGGTAAGATTGGCAATTTCCCTTTGGGGACTGAAGAGATCAACTGAACTGCATTGCCAAAAATGGCTGGTGATAAATTGGTCATGGCTTTTGCAAGATCAACTTGTTCTTTCAGTTTTTCACTGGCAACAGCAGAAGGTTTACTGGATGTTTTCTTGTTTGCAAAATTTGCTTTCCCTGAAACCTTTGTGAGGCCCTGCTTGGCTGAGGGCTCCTCTTGTGTGGACAATGTTGGGGTAGCAGGAGGGTTCGGATCTCCATGGTCGTTGGTCCCTGGAGGTTGAGAGTCCCCGTGGCCACCTCCGTTGGTCAGCGCAGCCGTGCTGACGATGGCTGGGGCGTGGTCTAGTGCTGGCACTGGCTTGGACTGACTGTGCTCGTGCGGTGGTTCAGGACGGTCAGGTGGGGAAGGGGGCGCTTGGGTTTGGGCAGGAGGTTTGTTACAGCCACTCTCAGAGGAGCTCAGAATGGGTTTTTTTCTTGATCCTTTGTTATTTCTTGGGGGTTGGTATCGAGGAATAGGCAGTTTAAGGTTTTCAGGAAGGGGCAGTCTGGGTTTCTGGATTGGCTGAGCTGAGGCAACATGCGGCAAAGCAACAAGAGAAAACGTCCCCTCCTGGCCAGAAACCTGCATTAGAGCATAATTCTGGGTGGGCATCCCCAGGGGCTTAGAGCTGATGGAAGGTCCTGGATTCACCTGATCAGAGAGTGACGGCGAATGGCATGACAGCACTCTGGATGTTACAACTTTGGGCACAATTTTTGGTGCGATGGTCCTAAACTGACTCTTATTCTGCAAACCTTTCCCACCCTGAATTGTTCCGGAAGGGATGTTTGATTCACCTGCAATGACAACACAATATAAAAAGTCACTATAGTGTAACTGTCCTGTTGTTGAGAGTGCAGATAAGCATCTTATCATTTACTCTGCCTAGAAGGCATTCCTGGACCCACCCCTACTCTTCTGGGCAAACGCCCCTGCTCCTCAAGACCCAGCCTGAAGGTCAACTCCCATCCACCTTCCCAGAGAGTGATTATTATATAACATTTACTATTTTCCATAATAATTTATCTATTTATGTATCTCTACGACTACACACAGAGCTTCTTGAGAGCTGGGACTCTGTCCTTCTCCTTGTATTCCGCAAGTTCATCCTCTCCATTTACCTAATTCCGGTTCATCTTGACAGGCCAGGGCCACCCTACTTCTTTCCTGATCTCCTGTGCTGCAAAGTCTCTCCTCTGGTCACCCCCTCTGGTATGTTCTGCTGTGTATTTTATTTATTTTGTGTACATGTCTTGTTTTCCCCATTACACTTAAGCTTTGAGAGAGTGAAGCCTATATTTAATTGCTCTTGATATTTTCCACTGTATCTTCAGTGTGGAACAAATGTTTCTTGTATCAAACTCATTTTTCACTCCATTTCAGGTTATACCATCTGACCCACTGGCAGTGCAGTGAGTTTTGCACAGTGGATGAATTCCAGACTGAATGCTAGCTGGGTGCTTTTCCCATGTGACTTGTGAATTTCTCCTCCCACCTTTCAAACTGTTTATGTGCACTTTTGCAATTAAGTCACCAGTATTAAAAAAGCTGAGGTGACACCTTAAAAAAATGTTGAAGAAAAACAAAAAGATACAAAGTGATAAGTAAAGATACAGAGACAACAAATAAAAAAATACATGAATCACACAAAAAGCCGCTTCTAAGACACTAACAGGCACAATTTAAACTGACAGAATAACACTTCTTACTCCCCAGATTTATTAGGCTGAACGCAGAGCAGTTACAACGACTCTAAGAGAACAATTAAGGACACATTTCAGTGCACTGCTTCTAAGGACTGAATCATCTATTTTATTCCCTGAGGCCTCCAGGTCATAAGGCCTGGCTGAAGAAAAGCTTCCCATTTCTAAGTACCTCATATTAGTCAAACTTCACTTCCACTCCTGTTTACTAGGTACCTGCACTATTCTAGGGATTGGCTATTGCAGGCCCACAATCCCTTTTCTGAAACCCTGAGGCCAGACGTGTTTTAGAATTTACACTTTCAAGTTTTAGAAAAGTGATAATAAGCTGCATACACCAAATGTTATGTAACACCCAGCAGACTCTGCAGAGCACCCATTACTAAACCTATTACTACTTCTGTAGCAAAGTATATGGGTATCCACAACAAGTGGGACAAATGAAGACTTTTAAACAGTCTTACTTCAGTTTAGATTTTGCCTCTGAATGAGTTTTGGTACCCAACTTGTGATAAAATTTTCTGTTTTCAGAGCTTTTTAAATTTTGGAGTTGTAGGTAGGGGACTGAAGTACTATTTGTTTAGGGGATGGATATCAAGGATACAAAGATGAACAGACACAATTTCTACCTCAGGTAGCAGACAATCTGGTGAAACTAACAACTAAAAAATTTTTTTAAATCAACCTTGATTTTCATGTCTACAATTAGTGAACTAACAATTTTAGCAGAAAGTTGATTCTTTCAGCAGAAATGATACTCTGCAAATATACAAATAAGTAGCATATAGGAATAAGGTTGAAATGTATACTGACCAACTTATTTTAGAAAGTAATCATTGTCTGGTGAAGAAAAAGTATGTTAAAGACATATTTCACATGGCAGCTTGCATTAGAGGAAGAAGAAAAAAGACTAGTGCTCTGGTCTGGGAAAATCAGATAAGGATAATTATGTAATCTATGTTCCTTTTCAGCTTTGCTACCATGAAGTTCAAGGGTAAACTGATTGGTCAATCACCTCGCAATAGTCACCTAAATGGATCTGCTACATTTGCTTCTTCCTACACAATTTAATTGTTAGTTCTATTTTTCACAGTCTTTAAATTTAAATGTCTTTCATTTTAAGCCTCATCTTCTCATGTTTTTGGAACAATACTGAAGTAAGTTGTGAATAAATATATTAAATCAGGATTGAGAGAGTTTGCAGAAAGCTTAAAATTATGGGTAGCTTTCGGTTACCTAGAAACACGGCTTATTAAATAATTACATTAACAACAATAATGGTCTTGGCATCTACACAATAGATTGGGTGTGAGGAAGGAAGAGAAGAGAAAACATTGGGTCATTTATATCTAGTTCACACTCCTAATTGATTGAGACAAAATATTTATAGCAAGAAGAGCTGGAAGAAAGGCTATTTTGTCCTTAATCAGTCATATATCCTCTTGAAATAATATGTGACAACAACACATCACAGCACAAGACATATCACCTCACTCGTCTGCTCAGACCTGTCCAACGGCTCTTCATCTCAGAGCCAAAGCCAAAGTCCCTGCAACGGCCTAAAAGGCCTCACGCATCCAGCCCCCACCGGCTCCCCTCCAGCCGTGGCGGCCTCTCTGCTGTTCCTTAACTGCGCCACACATCCATTCTTCAGTCTGCACTTGCTGCTCTCCCTGCCCGACACTCCTGCTCTAGATGAATCCCCAGTACTTGTTGAAGCATTTTCTTCGCGTTTTGCTCAAATGGCCTCTTCTCAATGAGCTCTTCTCTGACTGCCTTATTTAAAACTCTACTGCCATTCTGAACTCCCTACCCCTCTTTCCTGTTTTAATTTTCTCTAGCACACTTGCTCCATCTACAGATTATACTGTGGTCTGCCGTCTTCCCTCACTGGAGTGAATTCCTTGAGGGTAGGGAGTTTCTCTGTTTCGTCAGAGCCTAGAACAGTGTTGGGCATGTGGTAGGAATTTAATAATTATTTGCTGAATTTGTAAGTGGTAATAAAGTGATCAATGGCTGAAATAAAGACTTTACAGATAGAGCTTAGAAAATTTTCTAAAAAATGAAAAGAAGAACCCAACAATTTAAAAGCAAACTTGAACATTTCCAAATTTTGAAAATTAAAAAGAAATAGTAGATATATCTCTGGAACATTATTATTTTTTTTTTGCAATTTATTTTGCCCACTGCCAGAATAAGGCAATGGGTTGGCATATGATAAAACCCTTCAAGATAAAGGGGATAGGTGAGGCCAACCGACTGAGCATCTGAGGAAATAATGAGAGAGAACAGTAAATCATGCTGCTGAGGTACAAACTAAAATAGTCCACGAGGCAAGCAAGCTCTGAAGAAGAAATTACTTTAAAGAAAACAGACTTACAGAGAGGAAGAAAGAGGGGGATTAGAGTGAAGAGAAGAGGAACAACTAGAAATGGAAAAACTGAACCTGTGAGGCAGCGAATGGTCACGTCAACATGAAGAAGAGCAGCTGAAGCGACAACCAGTGGTCAAGGTCACCTCACAGTCTCCAAAGACTTCAGTTGGGAAGGGGCTTCCTATTTTTTTATGACCAAGTATCAGAAACAGTTAAGGTTTCCAGAAATGAAATTAGATATACTTTATAGAGCCACTCCAAAAGGGAGTGGGCTAATTATGATGCATTTAAAGGTAACGTGCTTCGATTGATCTTCAAAAGTTTCTACATTATAGTGGAAATAAAATCACACAGGAAGAGCAATGACGTTCAAAGGAAAAGGAGGCCGACTGTGGTCCAGGAGCAAAGGAATCTCTTTGGGTAACTAGCTGTCCCAGCAAGGGAGAACACTGATCAGTGAGCAGCCTGGGGAAACGACAGAGACCTAGATGACAGGTGTGGAGCCTGCCAAACAGACTCAGTTCTCAAGTTTCCTGCAATTTAAAGAAGTGGATACTGGGGTAGAAAAGTTTATCAGTTGGCTTCATGATCAATAATCACAAGCTAATCACAAGAAATCTGCAGGGTGAAAAGGCCTTAGAGGGTAAATTTAACTTACTCAGGCTTGCTTGGATCTACTGGGAAGTACATACAAGGGTCATGGCCTCTGTGAAGGTGGTATTGAGTCCCATTTCCCACAATCATTAAGGATTATGAAAATTAATAAAAGGAAACCTCATTTAAATGGAGTTGGGAGGCCAGAAAGGGGAGCTCTAATGCAGTACCATTCGAGGTCCATTACAGGAAAGAGAGTCAATTACAGACCCCAACAAAAAGAAATCGTCAACAGGAAGAAATGTGCATCATCAATTACAGACCCCAACAGGAAGAAATGTGCATTACATCCCAAACAGAAATGACTACCCCAGCAAATCAGCCAATGAGAAACCATCACCACCCTGAACTCTTGCTTTTCTCCAATGGACTTTCATTCAAAACAACCCCTCCCAATTTCCTCCCTTTTCCCTATGAAATAACGTTCCTCTCCTTCAATTGCTGACTTGACTATGGCTTTTGCTATAGCATGCAGGTCCCGAACTGCAATTCTTTGATTTTCCCCAAATAAACTCATTTTGCAGTTAAAATAATTGGCCACTTTGGGTTTATTTTTAACAAGATGAAGTGATAGGGAATGATGCTGATGTGTTAGAAGAAATGCAAGGCAGGAGAAAGAAGGCAAGGCCACAAAAATAGAAGAAAAAAATACCAATAGGAATTATTTAAATGTCCAGCAACAGGGTACTAATAAAATAATCATCTAACCATCACGTAATATTATGCAGCAGTAGAGAAGAAGAATGAGTTACACCAATATGGAACACTCTCCAAGATGCGACATTTATAGTATGCTATCACTTGGATTTAAAAAAAATAGTGAGATACACACACAAATATATTCCTGTATATGTACAGAATATCTCTTAAAGGAAACAAAAGAAACTAGTATTAGTGGTGGTCTTTGGGGTAGGCACACTGGGGGGCACTAAAAAGTCAGGATGGGCAAAGTGCTCACTTTCCACTGAATACTCTCTGTGCCTGGCACACAGGAGGTGCTTATAAATATTTGTTGAATGAATAAAAGGAAAATGAAAGTTTCCTTTTTGAATCTGCTTTTAAAAGAAGTTTCTTTTGAGATATCTGTGATGGGTAAGTGTGTGTCTATGCATAAATGACTGTGTCTCGATTATACACAGAGAAGGTCTCATGTTTTCTTTGCCTACTTAATGACAAGAATTGCTAATGATAAGGGAAGTAATCTAACAATCTGACAGGTAGTGAGTAACTACCCCCAAAGTGAAGCACCGAGAAGCATTAGAGCTCATTGCTTCCCAAGGACAACTGGAGTCCTGAGAATTACTCCTCCAAACACGTGGCTCTTTAAGGATAAAACAAGGCAATTTGCAATAAAGGTCACTTATGCCAGAATAACTACAGGTTTTTTTATTTTTAAAGTAGTTTGAACAATAGGAGCCTTAGAGAAGCTGAAAATGCCATTAAGTTTTGAAAACACTAAGATGGTATGATTGTAGGAAGTCGTTCTTGGCAGTGTAGCTACGACAGCGGTTGACCCCACTACACATTTACACGGCCTTTCACAGATGGTGTGATCTAAAAGCCCTCACCTGTCACCTACTAAATTACAGATCTAATAGAACTGTGCACTAAATAGTAAGTAGAAATTTCCACTGACATACATAATTTGTGGAAATCCTGCGAAATTACCCATAACACAGTTAAAGGGACTCACAGGACTCTTCAGGCACTAAACATGGACTTTTATTAACTGAAAACATAAAAGCCTCACTCAGTAAAATTAATTTTGCACAATTATACAACGTGAATACTTAGGATTTTAAATGTGGGCTGTTTTTAATATGTTAAGCATATTAAAAATAACTATTTTGAAAAGTGACATTTACAGTTGGTGAGAAATTGATCTAACTGTGGATTAAAGGGAAACTAGGAGGTATGGAGTACTTATTACGGTCTAGAATCTGTGCCAGGTCTTTTAGTTGAACTCTCACACAAACTCTGCAAATAAATATTATTGTTCCCCTTTCACAGATTAAGAAAAATGAGGCTTGAGGAAGTGAAGTAATGTGCCCAAGTCCACCAACCCAGATCTGTCCCATTCCAATTTGAAGAAATAACCTTTCTCTCTTTCATTCTCCCCTCAAAAGGGGGAAAATTATAATACAAAATGGCCCTAATGAACTCCAAAATATGACATTATCTCTGAATTTTAAGGAGAAAAAAAGAAAACCTGAAACAGAAATGGCTTGTCATATCCCAAAACTTCGATTACCATTAAATGATACTTTCTTTCTGAAAGCCCGCTTATTAGAGAGAATTCATGAAAAATTAAGTCATTTGAAGGTGAACGCAGATTTTCAAAGTTGAATTTGCCACTTACTATCCATAGGATTCTGACAAATCCAATAAGGTTGCCAGATATTTGTTTAGAGAAAGTGCAATGTGCTATCTTCTCAATCACCAGCAAAAAATTTGACCTGATGGATATCAGTTGCACGTTAGAGGCAGCAGAGGGACGACTCTGAGGGCTAAATAGTACTAAGTGCCTGCACCTAAGCCAACTTGATCCAACTGTTTCACAACACAGCCAGCATAGACAATATCAAGAGACAAGTACATGCGGCAGGCAATTCTCTAGATGGATGCAAACAACTCACTTCCTGATTCCCAAGGGTAGAACCAAGGCCTACTTCGTTGCTTCTGAACAAAGCTGTTCCTGCTCGTCCCTTTGTTGGCTTGGGCACAGTTGCATTATTCCATCTGCTGGGACCCACAGGCCTACTGCTAAGCATGGAGTAGAGAGCAGGTAGGGAAAGAGAGAGACTGTCCCTGCTCTTGAAACAGGCTCCCTGGATCCAGGCTCAGAACAAAAGTGCTGCCAAGTCTTAGCCACAAAAGAGCCAAAATTTTTAGCCGTTATTTAGGTTTTAATTTTATTAAACTGAAAAACCCTAGTTTCAATTTTATTTGTTGGCATCCTTGTTCTCCCTCCCACTTGGCTTTCAAATAATAAATTCCAGTTTGGGTTCAAACTGTTTCCCAAGATGGTCTCTGGTTAAAACAAATATAGTAAAACCCTGGAGAAGTCTGAGATAAAAGAAATGCCTCATAACACAAGGGAGCTCAACTTAATTTTGTTGAAAAACCTATAAACACATTTAGCCACTGCCTACCCTCTCCCCAGGGCACCGTCCAGGCTCTGCAGCAGCAGAATCAACAGGAATTTATTGAGCGTTGAGTGTACAGGCTGCACTGTAAAATGTGCTGGCAATAGATACAAGTGTGCTTTTGTTTCTAAGGACTCAGTAAGCCAAATATCATTTCTATTCCCCATATATGTAACACTAAGACCTCCTTAAGTCATTATTATATCTAGGACCCAAATTTCAGGAAATCTGACACTATGCAAAGGAAATAAACACATTCCCAATTGGATATCGTGTATCCTGAGTCTAGTTTTGTCCATTCTCCTTGGCACACTTGTCCTGCTCTGCTGAACTACGCTCTTAGCTAACTCCCTCCCCTGCCCTCCTATAACAACACCAGTGATATCCAGGCACCTTCCATTCAGCATAGGCCTGTGACAGCTGTCTTGCCAAAGGGTGAATTCATCTCCCAGTTTAGCAAGAAAGGGAATTCTTGCTTTCTGAGCACCAGAGCTTCTTTATTTCCTAGCACCTATCAATAATGTTTCTTAAACATTATTCCAAGGATAAGGAATATTTTATATCAGGTACTATGCAAAATATTTTACATGCATTATCTCATTTAATCCCCACAATAACCTGAGTTAGGAATTACTGTTATGTACATTTTACAGATAAAGATTTTGAAGCTGGTAAGTAACAGAGCAGGAACTCAAACCTCGATCCATTTGACTCCAACGGCTCTTCCCACCTCTACATGCTGACTGTAAGCTATTCCGCATGGTTATGGCCACTATCATAGTCTCTAGTGGAAAGAGCATGGGTTTTGGGGTTCAGACAGAGGTGGTTTCAACTCCTGGTTCTGTCTTGTGGCTTGGGAAAGACACTCTTTGAGCCTAAATGTTCTCATTCATGAAATGGGCATAACAGTATCTGGCTACAAAGGTCACTGTCAGGATTCAATGAAAAATGTACCCATGAAGGTGCCAGGGTGGTGCCTACCACAAGTTAGATGCTCAGCAGACATTAGTTTTCCACTTTCATTTGGCAAAAGTATGAGGTTCTTGACATTTGGTGAGGAAAAAACCCACCAAAATCTTGAATGCTAATCATATGGATAGTACTGAATCCTTAAACTGGTGTTTCTTTTTTGAGAGGTAAATGAATGTAAGAGGGAAGAAGTGGCTATTACTTGTGAATAAGGGTCCCGATAAAACTGTAAAGCATTTTCCTTTCGTGCCTCTCTCCTGCCATCCACTTTGGCAGTTCAACCTTTCCTATAGCTGATCCATCCTATCAGGCTCTCTTATTCCCCTGCCCCAATTTTTCCATCTCGGTTGACAAAGTGCTAATCAGATGAACAATTCTAGTGTATAGGAGTTAACGTGCATTTTAAAGAGCTGTATTTTATGGGGACACTTTTCCCTGCTTTTGTTTATATTGAGTATTGATGCTAATTGTTGTTCTCAAACCTAGCAGGGAAGAAAGCACATCCCCTAGTAGACTGTTCAGGGGGTAGGGGTAAGCCCAGGTCTCAGTGGCCCTGTAGGAATGGGGCCTGGAGTGGGACTAGGGACGCCAATTATCTCTCCAGAGGACAGTGAGAGCAATGGCCATGTGATTTCTCAATTCAGGAGGGAAAATGTGTGGACTCTCACAGAGGGTAGGGGCAGGACAACCCAAATTTTGAAAGCACTTTCTTGTAGATTTCAGTATTTTGTGGAGAAAATCAGTAAAATAGTTCAAGATAGCTTGAGTATAGAAAGAAAAGTTTGGTACTGAAAGAGAAACTATAGCCCATAAAACTGAACAAATTAGATATGTAAATATAAAGTGAGAGGGAACAAGCATTCTTTATGGAAGAATTTAAAAGCCAATTACCTAAAATATTAATGGCAATAAAAGAAAGAAAACAACACAATGTGGTTTGTTAAATCCAAGTAACTAACTATTCTTTTTGAGCCAGATAATGTCGCAAATGAAAATAAAATTTAAAAATCTTTATCATTTAAAATACATTTTAATAATCTTATTTCAATGAATTTCCCCTTCATTTTAATTAATCCTCCTTTTATCAGTCCTTATTTCTGGGAGGAATTCTATTTAATTTCAAGTGCTTCCAATGAAAAACAGTTGAAAACGACATGAAATATTTTTATTGCTAATACATTTAGAAAGATGAAGTTATCCTTTTGTAAAGAAAAAACTGTAACATGCACAAGATTTTATTCATTATTATAAAACAGTCAATTTTGTATCTTTACCCAAATCTAAGAATGACTGAGTAGCACAAAAATTTAACTAAGAGCTAATGATCTACAGGGGGCACAAAGCAAGACAAATGGAAAGTTCTGAAATGCTTTATTAACTTTATCCTCCCATTATTCATTTTGTAGTTAACGTTACTAGAATTGTTAATATTCAGGTGAGTCACATAGCTGGAATTTAGAAGAGCTTGTTAACTGAACTTCATCAGGGTAAAAGTAGTGAATCACTTCATTTGACGTCCTATTGCCCATAACAAATACCTGTGCACACTGTCTTTCCAGGAGAGTCTGACATTTTCTGTTTCAGCTGCTTCTCAGGACTGGTGAGCACGGAAACATCTCCTGCAAGAGAGCTGTAGTAAGCTGCACAAATGTCTCAGAGCAAGAAATCTTCTACCAACAAATTAAAAACGGGCTCCTCCTTTTTTAATCTTATATTTCAATATCAGAACAGTTAAGTATCTGGGATGACTAACAAGATGACAGTTGGTGAAGAAAACCTTTTCCTTAGTGGCATAAACAGATAAGGTTTCAGCATCAGAATGTGCAGTCAGTTGGAACAATTAAACTAGGACACACACACAAGGTTGGAAGGTTCTTGCCTTTGGTCAAAACAGCATGATTATGAAACTCAAGTGGTAAAGACCACAATGTTTCGAAACAGCATAGTTAGGAGCAAGGGACTAGAATCACAAAGATATTCTTATTTTTATACTATAATTTCAAAAGTAGATTTACTTTATTTATATAGAACGGGCATTTTTGAGTGTGTAAAGTACAATTTAAAAAATGAAATAATTGTTCCACTGCTTTATAGTATAGTTTTACAGATGCTTTATCTTCACTTCTGATTTATCTTCAACTCACAGTGATTTATAACATTTTTTGCTGCAAGTTTTTCTGTACCTCAGCTTTTATGTCAAATAGTTCATGATTTGTAAGTACAAATGCACAGGACCACATATTCCTTTGTTATGTCAATAATTATTCTCTGAAACTCCTGCTTGGTAAATCTTGACTGTTACTTATCTCTTTAATCAAGGCACACCTTACCCTAACATAGAGAGACCACCTACAATACTGACACTTGGAAGAAAATAAACAAAAAGAAAATGAAGCGCCAGGCACTGACTGGGACTGAGGTAATCAGATTTGTGGTAGTTACCTTCGCGAGGTTGACCAGATTCGGCTGTATGTGAGTTAACTGGCACACACAGAATCTGAGGGACAGCCAGTGTAATGGATGCTGACCTGACTACCACAAAGAGTGAAGTCATCAGAGTTTGAAAGCTGTGGACCACTCTGGATTCCTTTTCTTTTGAATTCTGCCTGGCTTCTCCTCCATTAATACTTTTATTGTACTTTGGATGACAACTTCAAAACCTGGTTGAAGGAAGCATTTACTCTCATCTACACGTTAGGAGTATGTAAGATTAACTCCCCATTTTCGCTGAAGAGATGGAGTGATCAGGCAGTCCATCTGCCTTCGTTCCATCTCTTTTCCTCAAGGCCATGCATTTTTGCACGTGTGCACTTAAGGAGATACTCCTGGTTTCAGAGCTGGCTTCACGGCTGATCATCCATGGACACCCAAGCATATTGTGGGCTCACACCACTGCTGTCTTCCTACAGCACTTACCTCGACTGGGCTCCACCCTGTGCTTCCCACTCCCACGGCCTGCTGCCTAGTGCAGGAGAAATCCCACCACTGTGAACACTGGATGACACTACACATTTAAGGTTTCCGGTCTCCGACTGCAGACCTATTCCACAATCTGTTTCTTGTCCCTAACAGACTCCCCTCACTTCCTCACTGGAGCTAGCCCAGGTTTCTCCTACTGCTCTTGAGGTACTCTCTCTCTACCCTACCCTCACCTTAACCCATGGCTCTCTCTCTCTTGTCAATGACTTTTGGCACTGACTTTGCAATGGACTGAATATTTGTGTCCCCTCAACATTCATATGTTAAAAGCCTAACCCCCAGTGTAATGGTATTAGGAGGTGGGGTCTTTGTTAGGTGATTAGGTCACGATGGTGGAGCCTCATGAATGAGATGAGTGTCCTTATAAAAGGGACTCCAGAGAAGTCTCTCACCCTCTTTCTGCCATATGAGGATACAATGAGAGATGGCAGTCTGCAACCCAGAAGGGGGCTCTCAGCAGAACCTGATCATGCTGGCACCCTAATCTTGAGCTTTCAGCCTCCCAAACTTGAGAAATAAATTTCTGTTGTTTGTAAGCCACTGTCTATGGTACTTTGTTATAGCAGCCTGAAGTGACTAAGACTTCGCGGAGAAAAGAGAGGTCATCAAGTGGGAACTCATTCACCATTCCTTCTTTCTACTTTTAAACTCTCTTCTCTAATTATACAACACAAATAATTTTACTTTTTCTGGGGTAGGGGGAAAGGAGGGGGAAGCACTATCACTCTAAATATACAACTCATCCACCTCAAGTCCTGAAACATTAAAATGTGAAAAAATATGCATCTTAGAGTAAGGCAATGAAGTATTCCCAACCCTGTTCTGGACCCCACACTACTGCCTCAGGGATCCTGTACCATAGGCGAGCTCCCCAGCGATTAGGGAGGCCCTCCTTGTCTCTTCCCACTAGAATGTAAGCTCCAAGAAAGCAGGGGCTTGTTTTGTCCACTGCCAGGACCCCAGCCCCTAGATCAGTGTCTGGTACATGCAGTTGTACAATATGTTTACTAAATGAGTGAACTATCAACTTTCAACTGGATTGCTTTGTTTTCTCCCTTGCTTTTGCTGCCCCCAAACACACAAAAAAAAACAACAATAAAGAGTCCTTGGGCTCGATCTCCTTTTCAAGTTATTGCCCTACCTCCTTTCTTTTCTTCATGAGAAAATTTATTGTAGGTAGTCCCTGTTTCTGCTCATCAACTCCTATTCTTTCCTCAAACCCCTCAATTCTTAAATTCCATTATGAAGTACTAAAATGTCCCTCCGTCAGGAGTCAGATTTGGTGCTTAACCTATTATCTCACTGAATCCTCCACCAGCGCCTGATATTAACATCTCTAGTCCACAGACGTGGAAACTGAATTATTTCTTGCAAGGTCACAAAGCTGGTAAGTGAAAGTTGGATCTGAACCCAGGTCTGTCTGGCACCAAGGCTGTTCTCTTTCCATTCCAACACACTGAACTCTCTAAGATGCTTTGCAGTTATTCTATTTATATGTCAGTCTCCTCCAATGGCAGGTGAGTACCACATAATCCATCTCTATGTTGAGAAAATGAACATCTTTTTGACTAATCTTTTCCAATCAGAGAGTGTAACTGTCAGGGAGAGAGAGCCTCCTTCTTTTTTTTTAACAGGAATCTGTAGCATGGTTGCTGGAGAGGTAATTAATGAAATTTACACAGAGTGAGTCCCTTCCTAATACCCTGGTGCTTGCAAGCCAGGCTGCTTCCATGAGTGGCCTTTGGCAGAGCTTCTGCTGAACAAATCAGGCTTTATGCCAAATGTAACTTTTTTAAAGCAACAATTACACAACAAATTTAATAACACTTATAAGTACTGACAAAGTAGTTTTTCTATGATGAACAAAAGTGAAGGAAAAAAATCATTACTGAGGTCTTTTATAATTTTAGATATAATATAAATTTCCTAGATATATTTGAATCCCATACTGCTTCTAAAACTGAGGTCATTGGAGAACACTAGGACTGAATGAGGAAGGCTACAAATGCTGAAAGAATTTCTAAATTCCTCATGTGGCAAGTCCTGCCCTTTAGTAAACTTGATAAAAGATCAGTGCTGTGGCATACTTTTCGGATCTGAGGAATTTTCCTTTTTTGGGTGGTGGGGAAGGCAGTTCCTCAGGGAAAACAAGACAAACCGCATTACATACAAGAAAGAGAGCAGGGCTTTGGTTCTTCCATTTACCACTGGAATGAGCCTGAGCAAGATGATCCTTTTGGCCTTTGCTTCCTCCCTTTAGCAAGACAGGATTACACTAGATCACTTCTCAAAGCATGGTCTGCAAACTCTGGGGAGGGTCCCAACACGCTATGTTTATATGAGTATTAAGATGTCATTCACCTTTTACACCGTGTTGACCTTTACACATGTTGCACTGATGGGGCAAAAGAGACCCTGGGTACAAGTGCTCTGGCACCTTAGCCTGAATGGAGCCAGTGACAGCAGTTGTATTCTTCACCACCACACTCTCTCAGTAGAACAACAAAACAGCAGTACAAAGTTTTAATTTTATTCAACCTTGATGCTTCCATGCCTCTTGAAGATTCTGTGTGATGAAATGGCTCATACTGGTCGAGCATTTCTGCCACACACTGAGTGTGACAGCTGCCTTGAGGAAAGCACTTGTGCGGCTGTTTGAGTTGCAGAGCTGAACTAGCTGCTTTTTTCATGGAATCCCATTTTTATTTGAAAGAACATCTGACAAACATATGCTGAAAGAACATATTCAGACTTGGGTACCTGGCAGACATTTTCTCAAAAGTGAACGAACAGAGCCTGTCATTGCAAGAAAAAACATCTGACAGGAACCGTGGCCAATGATAAAAGTCATTCTTTCAAACTGCCATTAGAACTTTGGAAAACTTGAATCCATCACCAGGAGCTTGAAGCTTTTCCAAGGCTTAATGGTTTTTCAGGTGAGACTGGTGGTTACATTAACAAATATGATTTTAAAAATAGTGTGTAAAATGATGTATATAGAAGATCTGCAGAGCTCAGTGAACTAATGTTTTCTAAATGTCCAACGCCTGACTTGACATGGATGGGTAAAAGACTCATTTGAGTGTGAGACAGATCAAAATGTAATAGGATACAAAAAGTACACTGGCATGATTTCAAATTTCACATTACAACTAAACTTTAAGAACTTACCTGACTCGTTTAAAGTCAGTTATAGTTATCTGACACGTTTTGGTGTAGTATCAAAGAAAAATATCCACAATTGTCTGAAAAGGCTATTAATATATTCCCTCCCTTCCCAGCCACTGTAAAGCTGGATTTTCCTCAAATACTTCAACATAAACAACATATAACAACATACTGAATGCAGGACCAGATATGAGACTCCAACTGTTTTCATGAAGCCAGACTTGAAAGATATTTGCAAAAAACATAAGTCAATGTCAGTCTTTTCACTAATTTTTTGTTTTGGAAAATATAGCCAATTACATAAAATATGTTATTTATGTTAAGCTTTAATGAGCTTACTATTGCTATTTTAAAATGAATTCACAAATATATATTTTTTCAGTTTATAATCTCGAATATGGTAAATACCAATAGATATAACTGACATAAACAAATGTTCTTTAGAGTCTTCAATAATTAAGAGATATTTTCT